GAGAAGGGGGGGCAGAGCGCGGCCAAGGACGCGACCGAGACGATTAGATGCTACGGGTAGGCAGAGACAGTAAAGGCCAGGGTGCATTGCCGGGAGGGCGAGGTGTCGGTGTCGGTGTCGGTGTCGGTGTCGGTTTAGTGGTGCGGCAGCGGGGGCTTGGCGGGGAAACGCTGGCGGCGGGGCGGAGGGTTGGGCGCTCAGCACGCGCGGGGCGGGGAGAGGCGGTGGGTACGCGGGGTGTGTGGCGGGCGGCAGGGGCGAGACGAGGGCAAGGAATCGTGGTGGGGTTGCGCAGCGTTCGCTGACATGATGCATTTATGGTACGAATTGATGGCTCTACGCAACCTACTTGGTGTCCAGTGTCTATCCGAACAGGCGTTATCATAACATAGAAATGCGGGAATTTTATTTCTTTTCAACTTTGATGTGTACGGTTTCTATTTTTCTATTTTTCTTTGGGAGGCTGACTCGTTTTATATATATATGTTTCTGAAGTTAGAAACGAGTAAAGATCATTGTATGGAAAGTTTCTATGCTACATGTAAAAAATTAGCCTAAAGAATAATGCTTACTGTAGGTCGACTACAGTATTCTTTTGAAGACCTTGGAGTTGTTTTCGCAAAAATAGACGACAAGCTGCTTTACTTTGCGGTGGAAAAAAAAAACAAAAAAAAACAAAAAAACAGCGCGTTATTTTTACGGACAGCCTTACTGTACCCTTCGAAGGGCACTCACAAGAATATGAGAATAGACATGTTGACAAAAATACTCTAGTGTTGGGAGAGAAGGAGTTGTGGTGACCGCGGCTTGCGGCCGCAAGAAATATCCTGCGCCAACTCGCCGCAGTCGTGTGACGGACGGCTGGCTGACAGTAATTACAGCTGCGCCCTACTCCCCGCACGTCATCACATATATACTGTACACCAGCTTAAACTTTTTTTCCTGAGTGGATTGCAGAACCTCTTTGCCGTTGCAGCTTCAACAAAAATAAACACTCTGGTGATCGAGGGTACCCAGAAGAGCTGTATGGTCTTTCCTGCACGTGAGCATTTTTAATTAACTGGTAACAGTATACAACGATTCATTTTCCATCTCTTAGAAAAGCGGTGGGAGGTGTTTTCCAAAGATTCTCGTTCGTTCCAATACTGCATTGTGTGTTCCGACAGTCACAAGTGGAAATTCATTCCTACACTACTGCAATAGTGAGACTTGTGAGAAAAAACTGTCGCGATTTGCCCTGCATTTTCGAAACATAGAAGCTATATATCGGGTGGCTTTGACTTGACGCCCCAAAAAACGCCGCCGCCTGTCTGAGATTCTTGGGTCTTCGCATCACCTGCATCATGTGTCATAACATGTACAACCCTTTCCTTGATCTCTGTGCAGCGCTGCCCAACTCGAGTTTCCGCATAATTAATGATGCATGATGCATTGTGTAGTGACCCTGATATTTTTTCCGCGTCAGGAAACGGTATTCTTTGCAGCGTCATGTCGCTCTAGAATGAGGCGAAGCAAGAGGCATTCCATCTTGCGAAAACATGCGCTTGTCAGATACCATGTTTTCTGCGAGTGGAATGCTGGCTGTTCCGTACACCTCAACGCATAGACGCTGTGTGCTTGCTGGTACAGAGCCTGCCCATGTTACGCTCTTTTATGTCTCTTCCGTGATCTCGTTTTTGATTCAGCCTTCTCACCACAACTATGGAAAGGTCTCTGACGAATTGCAGCGCCTGCACTGTGTCATGGAGTGGTGCCCGCCTGAAATGCCCATGCCTCAAACGTTGGAGACGGAAATAACACTACCAGAAAGATTGTCATAGAAATGGGAAATGGACCACTGGCACCAGCAATCAAACACCTTGACCATTTTACCCTAACAAACGACTCATGGGCTTGCACCATACTCGCAACGAACAAGCAGCCAATCAAAGCGCCAGGTACGAACACTATATCTACGACAACAATGCGTCTAAACGCGGAAGCAAAACACTTGGGAACGCAAACAAGCCATTGCAGCTCACTGCAGGTCCTCCGAACCAAGGCCGGCGCGCGCACAGTCCGATACGCAAGCCCCGCCCCAACTCCGGTGCCCCCACCTTACCTCCTACTCGCCGACGCCCCGCTGCTTCTGCGATGCAGACCTCTCTCCAGGCCGTTCATCCTAGCCTTCAACGCGCCTTCGACGACATTCATCTCGGCCTGTTGCCTAGCGTGCGACAACTGCGCCTCGGTCTTCTCCTTCCTCATCTTGAGCAACTTCTCGTACATCCTTCCCCTCTCCCGGAACAGGTCCGAGACCTCGCCGCCCCTCCTCGGGATCTCCCTCTCCAGTCTACTCATCCTCCTGGTCAGCTCCTCCTCCTTCTCCATGCTGCCCTTATTGATGGCTTTCATGCCCGCGGCCACTTCGTGGCGGTACTTGCTGACCTCCCCCAATACCTTCCGGCACGCGATCAGCTCATGCACATAGCGCTTCGCCTTGCCGCCCTGTTTATTCGCGGCGGAGACGTCGCCGCGCACGGTCTCCGTCTTGCGGACGGCGACTAGTAGGGACATGCGGTCCGGATACTTTTCGACCCAGGCCTTGCAGTTCTCCGGCCTGAGGCCGGGTTCCTTGTACAGCGTAGCCAGGGCATGCGTGAGAACCGCCCAGCGGGCCTTCTGGGCGGACGTAGTGGCGGTGGTAGACGTGCGGAGCTTTTTCCAGTCGACCCTGGGCACGATACGTGGGTCGCGCTCCCACGCCGCGTACTGGGCGGCCTCGTGGGTGGTGAGCAACGGGGCGGCGAGGCGTGACGCGGAGGAGAGCGAGGCGTCGGGGTCGCGGGAGAGGGCGCGGGAGAGGGAGTAGTCGGCGAGCAGGAGCTTTGCCGCGTCCGAGAAGGCGGCCGACCAGGCGGCCGGGTCGCGGTGCGAGCGCGGGAGCGAGAGGCGACGCGTGTGCGAGTAGGAGAGCGAGTCCGGGGACGGGGTAGAGTACGAGGGCGGGGCGGGGCGCGCGGAGGCGGTGGAGCGGCGGGAGGAAGGCGGCATCGCGGCGGGTGGGGGGTGGGGGGTGGGAGGGGGAGGGATAGGGGACGGGGTGGGGCTTGAAGTGCAGAGTAGGAGGGGTATAAGTACGAGTGGGAGGCGGTGGACCGCCTCCCACTCGTAGAAGCGTGATGGGAGATTGTGTCGGGATAAGGCGGTATGCCGTATCGCAAGACAATCTCCTATGGAGTAGTGGATGCAAGTGGATTATGGGCGTATGGGGCCCGTGAGGGACGTTTTTGAGAGGACGCGGTAAGGCGAGAGAGTAGATGAGGCGCTACCGTGGCCATTGCAGAGGTACGTGGCGAGACACCTGTGACCCCCCCCCAACGGGCCGGAACAGCCAGGACATGGCGGAACACGCACACATACTGTGCACTCAAGGGTACAGTATACAGTGCATGAGCGATTGGGGCTCGGCGAGGTGCTTCTTGTAACTCTATTAAATGCCAGGCTCAACCACGGCGATGCCCTCAAAAGAGCCTCCGACTCCGCTCTCATCTCCGCTCTCACCTCCGCTCTCACCTCCGCTCTCACCTCCGCTCTCACCTCACTGTACCGTAAATATCATGGCGACGCAATGCCATTTAGAGCAAAAAGACGGCTACATATACACTCTGCTACTCTACGACCTGTACACTAAAACTACACATTCAACACGATTTCCGTTGTGCGTACCGGGCGGCAGGGTCCCACGCGTCCTTGTCCCATCCGCCCTGCCACTCGCGCGTGCATCCGCCGCCCCAGTCGACGGCGGCCACGGAGGGGGGCGACCTGGGGAGGGCGGCCAAGCGCGCGTCTCTTCTGGCGGCGGCGGCGGCGACGCAGCACGGGCTCTGCGTGGGCGGCAGCTCGGGGTAGCGGGTGAGGTGCCAGCGATGGAGGTCGGGGTGCAGCAGGCCGACGGCGCCGTCCTCGTAGTGCACGACGAAGCGCGGCGACGGCGAGCGCTCGATGCGCTTGACGACGCCGCGGTGGTACCTTCCGGTCGCGTCGTGGTCCACGTCCAGCTGGTCGTACAGTGCGACGCACGGGCGCGCGGCACCGGCGGCGGGCGACTCCATCCTGCCGGCGGGGGAAGGGGGGGGGGGGGGGGTGGCGGCGCTGTGCGTGCGAAGGCTGCCTTTGAAGGGCAGGCGAGCGCGCGCAGGGAGGGCGGGCTTATTTGCGCGTTTCGAAGGGGGACGCAGCGCGGGAACGTTGCGTTGGACACGTGGAGTACATGCCTTCCGCAAGGCGCAGGGAGCGAGGATGGCGCCGTCCTATTCGCGCTCCAGTCGTTGTTCATTTGTTGGCCGTGGGACACGCGGCGCCGCCTGGTTTGCTTGCGACATGCATAGCCGTGTCACAACGCCTGGCCCGAGCGAAATCGAAACGATTTACACCGTATGTACCGTACGTACGTGCACCTCGAATTGTGAGTACAGCCATCCCACGTGTGCGATCTGGCAGGTCATCCACGTCTGACACGTCTTACGCGTTGTACCCCGCGCCCGCAGATCAACCGTTCCCTCCTTTCTAAAGCAACAACTCACTTCTTCCTTAAAACTCTATACTTCCGTTCCCCATCGAACCCGTCCATCAAACGCGTCCCTCTATCATCAACAATCCCCATACAAAAACCATTTCCACGACCACTGCCGTCTCCAATTACTCCCATTTCGCAATTTCCCAAACATGCATTCCGCGGCCCCCGTTCAATTCCCTTTCCCACCTCTCTCCGTCTGCACAACCTCTTCCCCTTTCTCTACATAAACCCACCATTTCTCTTCTCCGATAATCCTCTCGCACATATCCCACACGCAACCCACACGCAACCCACATTCACGCTCCACAAATAACATACGCAAGCAACATGTTCTCTCGTCTGCGCCGCAACAGCAAGTCTCTTCAATCGCCGCCCAATCGCCGCTTCCCCTTCCGCATCGCCCCTTTTCAGCCTCCCATATCCCTCCCCCAACTGAGATTCCCCTTCTTCCGCCCGCGCACGCCGCCCGTCTCCCCTACCCCGTCCCCCACCAACCTGCGCCACTCCCCAATCTCCAACCTACAATTGCCGCCCCCTACCCTCTTCGACCCAAATGCTTCCTTGCCAACCGCAAACGCAGCCGCAAACGTCTCCAGGGTTCCCTCGGAGCAGGAAGAATTCTGTACCCCGCCCGCTGAATGGATTCGAAACAACCACCCGGACTTTGCCTATATCTCCCGTGGCAACGGCACTTACATTTCCGTGGGCTCGAGTTCCTGGCAAACCCTGTTTCAAGACGTTGAAAGTGAAGACTCGGACGCCTCATCTTATCAGGGCGCAGATGTCTCGTCTGCGAGTCTCCGGGCTGTGCGCGATGTGGACTCGTCCGAGCTTTCTGATGAGCAGTCGATGCCCGATGATGGTAAGCATGAAGATGGAGACGATATCACCTCGAACAATGTAGAGCTAAGAACAGGGGGGGCCGTAATCAAAGCGGCGAAACTCGTGATTAATGGGCCTATTATACAACAAATTCAGGGCACATCGGTAATAATTGGGTTTGGGAATGGTAAAGTTGGTGAACACGAGCAGAACATTCAGCACCGAGAAGAGTAAAATTGCAGCAGTTACTGCACAGGTAGTTGTTTTAAAGTGTAAAAGAATATTTCTTGTCATTCTGTGAGAATGCAGGTCGGGTCATCAACGAAGTTGACCCCTGATCCTGCACTGCTGTTTTCAATTCAGTTCTGACTTTGAGGCGGAATGTAGCGCCTTTATGCAGTTTGCGGATGAAGTCGGTTCTTTTCGTAGAGATACTTCTTTCTTCTAGAACTTTTTATGTAGACCACCTTTATAGGCACAGTTTGTTTGACTCTATTTGAGTATCCAATAGCATTCTGAACCCAAAGCACATCTCAATGAGACACACTCTCTGTTCCATTATGCTAAACGTCACTTAGGGATACTGACTTGTCGGTCTTCATGAACCACAATTATGAACAATACCCCCCTCAATAACTTTCTAGTCGTTTGAACTGCGTATGCATGTTAATTTGCGAGATGAAGAGACCAAATCTGTCTTGACGTACAATTTTCGCCCCTTCGAAGCGGTGAGCGGACTATACAGCGCTCATGGTGCTAATTTTCAGATTATGCTTTCTCGATGAACAAAGGTTTTTGCCCTGATTTCACTTGACGCAAGGATTTGCCAGGCAGGAGACAAAAAAAAAGAACTCGGATGAATAGAAGATGGATTGATGGTTCTTTACTCAATAAACCAGGACGTAGAACTTCTAAACTGCACTACGGAGTTCTTTCATCGTTAACCTGTAAAAACGACGAGGCAGATAGTTCGTGTCAGCTGGAAGGCATAGACTGACCGAACAGCATAGATGGACTGTGTCCGTCTGTGCCTATCCAGTTATCGTCCGCAGTGACAGCAAAAAAAAAATAGATGTACTTCCTTTATCAAAATCGATCACACTTAAATACCTTCCAGGCTGTTCGTCACTAGTTGCATTGCAGTAGAGCATACTTCAACTGATTCGAAGGGGTTTTCACAGGACTCGAACAAAGCAAAGAGTAACTCACCAAAACTCTTCATGGAACCTCGCGGGGTATGCTGTAAGACGAGGCTCTTGCATTGATGGTACCTCCTAATCCTCTGGAAGTAGGGAAAATTGCCTAGTTATCCCTGTTCCATAAAGTAGTGAATGGCAGAATTTTTCTGTTCTTAAAGACAACATCACGCCTTGGCAAATGCGCAATATGATTTTGCGACAATGATCGAGAAGCAACTTCGGTCAATAGTTTTAGCCAACGGCGCCGGTATTACTCTATGAAAAGGATACTACACATGGGGTGAACAGAGGTTGATGCGCACATCAGAAGATGTACAGAAAACTGCACTTCTGGCCGTCCGCATGGAAGATGATAATAAATCATGCCTCCTCAAACATCCTGGCACAGTCCGGCTCATCTCGCGGCAACGTGAGCCTGTCCGTAATAATCTTCGATTTCACATTTAGCACTGCACAAGGCCCCTGCATGTTTGCTATTTCGGCTGTATTCCCATCCAATTCAGCAAAACTACTGATAGGGCCGGAACTGAACAGGCCGATTTCATTGTTGCGGATTTTCGTCCCCAGGACGGAGCTGAACCTCCCGGAACTGGACGTCGCCAATAACTCAATCTTGTTGTTGTCAAAACCATCCTTGCAGCCGATCTGGATGCCCTCGTCCGACGTGATAGAGTCAACCTTGCTGCGGACGAACTTGTCACCAGATATAGACACAGTTGCCCTCCCGTTTGCAAAGATATTATCAAACGTTGACCTGAAAATAGATCCAGATAAGATGCAATTCTGAAATTGATTTCTCCCTGTGCATCCAAAACCGCAAATTGTCGACCGTCTGATATCGCCGCTCTGTGACAGCCTGCCTGTATTGGAAATCCTGTTGACGTGCACGTTGATCATTTTTGCCTTGATGTCAAGCGACTGTATTTTTGTCAGCGCCAGATTTTTTAGGACGCAGTCGCGAATCACGTCTTTCTCACTGAGGGCTTGGATGGAGTCGAGGTTCAGGTTGCAGTCGCATGTGCGTTCGGTGTTAGATCTTGTATCCAAGCAGGGAGTGCGCGCCAGTGTGGAGAGACTGACGCCACATTGGCCGGAGAGGGCGCGACAAGCCGTGGTGCACGACTCAGGCTGAGCATAGGATTGAGAGAGGATGGAGGCCAGGACGAGAAGGAGGCCGGTTGTCTTGATCATAGTGGCTCAAGTTGGAGAGTTCGGAACTGGTTTGACGTATGGTGGATGGCACAAAGGAGAGGAGGGATGGATGAGTGAGAAGTTGATCTTTTTATAGAGGTTGAGAGTGGGGCACCAGAGCTCAAAGATGAATAGAGAAAAGATAAGGAGCAGGCCACGTGCGCTTTTCACGATGACACTGTATCGTACTTTGCAACAAGACGAATCAGTATCCATGAAATCCTGTCTCACTCGTCGATATTCAGCGGCTGTTGTCGTTATCAGAAGCTTCGGTTGTGAGCTGGGCGCAAAGCCGGCATCATTCATGAGCTCATTGGATGAAAGATCAGAGGCCGACGGGCGCGAGGCGTGGAAGCGGTCCTCTTCTCGGCACGACTTAACTACATGTACTTCTACTCACCTCCTTTTGCGACGGTAAGGGGGTGAATATCACAACATGTGCGTTGGCAGTCGCTGGAGAGCAATGGTGGGTACTGAGGCACAAATGCAGAACTGATGTAGTCATGAGCCCGACATGAGATAGAGAGGAATGAGGCGTTTGTCACGTGGCTCTTGTTCATTTCTAAAAAATTAGAGTTTTTGCAAATTTTGCATAAAGAGTTTGAAATAACCACTCGTGCTGCACAGCATGTCGCAGATAACGATTCATGATATATCCTTGGTGACATCGACCCCAACTTGTCCCACAGGCTTCGCTGGGTGAACATTTGTGCTTCCAGTAAGGTGAGAGACTCTAGAACATTCGTAGAAAACCTTACAAAAGCTTTTGAAAGGGCCTCATGGCTTCTGCGATAGACTCTCCGGCTCTCATTTCACTAACGCACCCACGTCCGTTCGCTCCTTAACACATTGCGCTTTTGTTTTTGTTTTTTTTATTGAAGTAACGGATATTTTATCTAATTCATTGCGCCCTGCGCCCTCTCCATGAAAGGGGAGCACTGGTTCAAAATTTATTCTTAACAAACCACGTTGTTACCCAGCATATAGCAGCTGATCGATAGAATCCAATAGACAAATATTCTTCTCGCTTCATTCGTAACGGTTGTTCTGCTTATCCCGACAAGTTGGAAGAATCATTTGTGAATCCAAATGTAAAGGCAACCGTTTCTCCTCAAGTCCCCCTTTCCAAGCGTTTGTTTTAAAACTGTCTTGCAGTCAGGACAAATCATTAACTTGCCCAGAAAGCCCGTTTTTGTTTCAAAAACGTCGGATCTTTTCTTTGCTACTCGCCCGGTATTAAAGTATAAAGAAGCTCATCTCGATTTTCGAAACAGCAAACTACGACATCACCTATATTTAACCTCACCCTTACACCGTCCATACTACAAAAAGTTTTGCGCTATGACATTTCCATCTCTCAGGCAAAAGATTCGCACAAAGAACCTATTGCATCGCAATGCAGGCGAAGGCCGAAGAATGCGTTCCCATGTCAGACGCCTTCCTCGGCTGCCTTTCCGGAAGACCTCACGGAGAGACAATTCGGAAGACTCAGGGACCTTCAAGGACTATCCATCCTGTAGTCCTCCATTGAAACTCCGCATTCCCTTGAGCACCATTGCCAAAAACCGTGCTCATGGAAAAACGACACCTTCTAACGTCGATTGTGTTAATCAGGCTCGCTTTGCAGTTCATCCTCAAGATCATGACAGAAGCCAACCATGCCCCTATGATGGAAAGTGCCAGAAAACGTTTTCTCCGGAACTCGATGCTCAGACAAAACTTTCAGAGCCAGTGCAAGGCTTATGGTCATACCCACCTGCAAATATTGGAAAGCCGCCGATCTGGCTCCCTACGCAGGAGGATTTGCTACAGGCTTCCGCCCCATGTATTTCAGAGAGTAGCGATGAAAGCATTCTACGAGAGCTTGGCAACTTCAATATGGAAGTCCTGCCCGTGCGTTTGAATTCTTCTTTAGAGGGCAAAAGCGATCCTCCATTACCAGCCTCACCAGAAGACATCAGCTCACCCATAGAGATATCTCTTCAACCCCGAAAAAAGGATTCGACGCAATCGGAAGGCACGGCTTGTCTACACATGCCATTTGGCATCCAAGCAAAAGACTTCTTTGAGAAGAAATCAGTATTGGACGGAAATCATCTCTTCGATGCGTCTGTCACTTCCAAGGCGGATAACCCACAGGATGAGCACATAATTCCACCGGTTCATGTACTTTATGAGTCACAATCAAAAGAAAGCACACCAGCCGAATCGACCGATTCATTCTCCAGTCCTTCTTCTATACCATGCAAAGCAATATCTGGACACAGTGGTTTGAAACCCACAGACCCAAGCGTGAGTTTCATTAGGAAAGAAGACCCGCTTCACGCAGGAACTTGCAAAGAATGTGGAAACTCGCTTCGGACAGGTTCCGAAAACATGTTCGCAACTACTTCTTATGGTGCTGATTCCATTCCACCCCCAGAAAATCAAGCAGAATGCAGCGAGAGTGCAGACTTGAAGCATCCGCATAAAACGTGGGTAAATGGATCAAATATTCTCAACGAGGCAATCTTGCGAGGGAAGGAAATTGTTATTTACGGTCCAGTTATTCAGAACCTTGTCGCCGAAACCGTGGCTTTCGAAAAAGTACGAGACATGAGGGAGTGATAGGTGCCCCGAGATAGGTATTCTTGTTTGTTTTCATTCATAAAATATTCCTTTCACCTTTCTTGACTCAAAAACGAATGCATCAAACCTTAGTACGTTTAGTAGGACGTTATACTTTTTGGCGTTGTCAGGAACTGACCAGATAATCCTTTTTATCCAAGATGCCGACAGAAAATTGATATATTTTGCACTTCTCCTGGAAAGTGGTTTTAAACAATTTGGAGGCAGCAGTGAACTGGTACCGGCTGAGAAAAGCACGTTTGCTCAGAATCTCAAAACGACGGTAGTGACTAGTATGATCAAAATTACGAAATAGTATGGAAAGCCGACTTAGCTAGAAGCAAAGATTGGAGGGGGGAAGAGGTGTGGGCGTGATTGTGGTTAATTTAATCACGCGTGTGATGTTTAAGCCTTGAGAGAAGTAATGTACATACAGTATCTACGTTTACATAGAAATTCCTTTTCGGGTATCGAAGAAACGTCGTGGTTGCTTCACTTCTAATGTTGCAACGCATGAGCAACGCTGCACTTGCGGTAGGAAAGAAGCAAATAGGTATAATCTCGCAATGTCTCTTGACTGCGCGCCATTGATGGTGTAAACAAGGAGCCTTTCGATAAGCTCGACGTGTTCAGAATCATGTGGGGACAGCACAAAACAGTAAGCATGAAGTGGCCCATAGCGTCGCCCTCGGAGAGGCTTTCTTGGACCAGTTCGATGATAGATCTACCAATCGCTGGCAATTTGTATGACATTTCAAAAGTCTGTCTCGGTGGGCAAAAAAGCAAGTGATGTGTTTGGGGTCAGTGCGTAATGAACCTGGAGGACATGAATGAAGATACCCACAGGCGCAAGTGTGCCATAAAGAAGACTGATCGGGTACGGTCCTGCAGGGTGATGCGTTCGCGCAATGGCAAAAAAGTAGTTTATCTTTGGAAGTAGATGATGATGGCTCCGGTTCGAAGGTTTTTGTAGCTGAAGAAAAGTTAGGCCACCAGGCACAGATGGTTTCATTGCAATGAAACGAAAAGTAGCATGTGGGGAGGTCAAGGGGTCAGGAGAATCGGCTCTAGTGTCTATCAGACCGTTCGTCCTCATATGAGGACAAAAGTTATTTTATTTTTTCTAGACAACCAAACTGGCGATTTCACTTATGTTTTATGAAACCAGAAGGCCATCACCACCGGTGAAGCATTTGCTTGTCGATTATAGGTGAAAGCCAACTCGTTGATGCATATAAAGGTGTTCAAAAGAAAAGATCCACTTACAGTAAGCATTTTCCTAAGAGCTAATTTTATGCCAGTAGCATAGAAACGTTGCATTGAGGGCTTTCTATTCGGTTCCAACTTTAGAAAAAAAAGTTAAAACGAGTCGATCTACCAAAGAAAAATGAAACCGCAGCCATCAAAGTTGAAAAGAAATAAAATGAAATATCAAATCTTTTTTTTCCACAGAAAGAATGTTTGAAAAATCGTGCTGCGTGCATTTAAGGGCGACTGGAAACAATGGTACAAGACAAGGCGAGTTTCGTAGGGAGTATTTTGACTCTTTAAATGGTCATCTATGCGAGCAGTTTTTTCTGTTGTTACTGGACGACACGTCCGTTCATTTCCTGTTCGTTTACGCATATGGCATATTCGTCTGAACTGCGGTTACAAGAGCGGTCGCAACACTCGCTTAAATATTATTATGTCGCTCTGATTTTGAGACCCAAAAGGGAGAACAAATTTATAAACGTATTAGCCTATCGTTCCCGTTATTATTTCGTTGCCAACTCAATTCTGTATAAATGGTTCTCTCAAGTGATTGCAAAAGCAGCAAGGAATTCTCACAAATACCAAACACTCATCTCCAAATACATCTGGAGCTTAGAACCGTGGGTAAGAAAACATGGCTATGCAGGAAGACAGATCTCATACTGCGAAAGATGTAGCTAGAGTTTACGAAGAAAGTTACGTTAATGATGTGAACTGCTCAGAGTTTGGAGGAATACTACTAGCGGCTGAAGGTGACGCTGATGAAGATTATGAGAAAGCTGAAGCCAGATTGCAGGAAGCGAGGGAGACGTATCGACTACTTTCCGAAATGCTTGAAGAGAAGACGAAAGACTTGAAAGCCTTTGAGATTAGACAGGCTGCTCAACTCTTGATGGTACCCCTGGAGCGATACGAAAACAAGAAGAAACCTCAAGAAAGCTTTGAAAGTTATGTGTCACGACTTGGACCCATCAAAAATCAATGGCAGATCACGGGAGTTTTGGGAGAAGGGGGCTCGGCGTACGTCTGTGAGGCTATAGACCTATTTACTGGGGAAGTAGTTGCCGCAAAGCTGGGAAAGGATACTAGTCAGATACCAACCACTGGAGCTGAATTTTCGATTTATGAGGAGCTTGAAAAACTGTCCGAATCAGTCGGTGCGACACTAGATTTTCCAAAAGTACATCATTTTGGACGCTACGGAATATATGAGGTTTTGGTGATGGAGCGCTTAGGGCCCTCTCTCCATGACCTGCATTATTCATTCTGTGGAAGGATGCCTGTCAGTGCTGTAATGAAAATAGGAATTGAGATCCTGAGAAGAATCGAGGTCTTGCACAGCATAAATGTTTTGCACTGCGACGTAAAACCGGCAAACATCCTGTCAGGAGTGCGAGGAGATGGTGCATGGCATCTCACTGATTTCGATTTAAGCTGCGCAGTTCGAGACGCTGACACTGGCTCAGTCATCGTGGAGCGAGGATATGAATTTCGTGGCACTCTGCACTTTGCACCTCGGAAAGCACACGAGGGGTACTCTCATTGCAGACTGAGTGATTTAGAATCCCTTGGATACGTACTGCTATACTTGTTGAAAGGAACGCTTCCTTGGATGGAGGAAGACAAAGAAAATTCAGTGGACAACAATCTTTGTATGCTGTTGAAGAGAGCTGTTGCCCTCGGAGAGTCATCATTTTTCAGTGGTGTTCCACAAGAAATGAAAAGATATTTCGCAGTTCTCGAGAGATCAATTTCAGTCGACACTCCTCCATACAATGAGTTGAAGAGCTTGCTAAATGACGTAATTGACAACTCGTTCGACGATGAGGTGGTTTCATCTTCGGATAGCAACTCCATGAATTAGGCAAAGATTGCCCAATTCACCCGTAGTTACCTTCCAGCATTTACATTTCGCTAAAATGTGCCTGCATTAGGGCATGAGACATAAGGTACACTTCCTTCGACCTGCTACACTAATGCATAGGATGAGTTTCTCAGACGACCCTTGCTTGTGAATAAACGCTTCTCTCGTATGCATTACTTTGAAATCCGACGTAGCAACGAAAGCGTCCTTATTTCATCGATCAAAGAATACTGAAGCCTATGGCCACAAACGAGTTTGTTGCTGGAGAGCAATATATATGTTCTTCTCGATAGGCACTGGGCGCCTCCTGAAATCCTAAAATCGCAAATTGTGTTCACCAAATCGGGATTTTATAAGTCGCAAACGGCGCTTTGTGCACAAAGAACGCGCCGTTTTCTCGGACGGGCGACCCCATGCTAGGTTAAATGTGTATCGCACAAATGCAAAAATGCGCGCGCGTACAATCCAACTTATGTGTAGTTAGAGCTTTGACAGCGTCATCGTCGGCGTCCAGTGAGTACAAATCGTGCGTATACCTGTAGTATGCGGGGCGTTTTCTAGGCATATTATTGGCTCGTTCGCCTGTGCCCGCGTCTTTGCGACTTTTCTCTATTGTGAAACTGCTAGCTTGGCACTGTACAAGTTTTGCCTAAAAATATGAACATTTTAACTAAAAATTAGAATAGCTTGCCCTATCGTCAATGCCAGCTGACCACCGCTGGTCACTTTCTCTTCGATGTTACTCGTTGTTGTACACGACACGACTTCCGAGTCTGTTCAAGAACGACGTGAGGCAACGCCACCGGAGCCTGAGATGAATTCTTCTCCGACACCTGAGGAGATACCTTCCTCGTAACTCGACTGTGCGCCTTCTCCGAAATTCGAGGAGACACCTTCTTCGAAACTGGAAGAGAGCCCTCCGAAATCCGCGGAGAATGACGTGTGCATGGACAGTTCTACCGTGTCAACTTCTTCTGGACCATCATGTTTCTGAGCGGCAGACAACATAGCAGTCGACATCCACACGGCTGCAATTTCTGCTGATGCAGTCGGCTTCAGAAAAATACGCATGATAGTGAGAAAGAAGAGCGCCACTCCGCAGGTGATGAGTAGTGTGGCCCAGTTGAGCGTCCTCGCCGTCTCGCGCCACATCACAGCCGTAAGAGCAAATGTATTTGCAGAGCCCATTATGAGATCGCGCGTGTCAGGGGCAGCGGTAGTGACTGCTGCTGAGGCCTTGAGAGTCATGTCTGCCATGCGAAAGGCCGGCATGCCACGCGGAAGAACTGCCTCAACTGTAGTAGTGAATACCGTTGAGGAGACGCGCACAAACCTTTGACGAGTATTAATTTGAACAATATTCACGTCTTCGCCATTCTTGGCGGAAAATTTGAATTTCAGTTTGTTTAGCTTTTGTAGGTTGATTGTTGAATTGTCTTCCGTCTCCCTTTGGTAAGCCGTGAAAAGATATGCAACATATTGCTTGTGGAGGTGCTTAACAATTTCTTCGTCCCTTACGAATAATTGACCCCGAGTTTTCATGAGACGGGGTTTATCGTCCCCCAGTCTGTAATGTACGCGGGAAAAGAATGTGACGCTCCGGTCACCAATGGTCAGGGAATGCTCAGTACCATAGTCATGAACTTGAGATGCGAAGGTGAGATTGACGGGGTCGGTGACCGTTTCGAAACGAGCTTCGGAACCCGTCTCTTGCGGTAAGCTAGATACAAGACATGGGCTGATTTGGGTTGAGCCTTGTTCTAATTCTTGGCTATACAAGGAAACCAAAGTGAGGGCTGTGCATGGTCTCTTCGTGCCCATAGGTCCCCTCTGCATGATTTCATCCCAGCTGGGATTTTCATTTTGCGAATGGGACAAGGATACAGTCTCATTGGTGACGTCGACCAGCATAGGAGTTGTAAGATATAGGACGAAGATTTGGAGACCGGCTGAGAAGAAGAGAATGAAAACAGAAGCAATCAGCAGTGGAAAATTGATTCCGCTTTTCCGCTTCCCTTTCTCCCGGCGGTGCCCTCTGAAGGCATAGTGAAAGCGAAACTCCCGGCACAGCTGAACAAACTGTTTGATGGAAAATCGGGTGTTGTTAACCGTGCCACTGGAAGTCCTGAGCAAGATGGTGGTGAGTATGCTTTCGATGAGCAAGACGAGAAACAAGGAGAGGGCGGCGAGAATCAAGTCATCTCTCGAGGTAAGGTCGCCCGAAAAAGTGCCCGTGGCGCGGGGGCGGATGACAAGAGTCTCAGAGAGAAAGGAGCACATGTTGTCTGTTTTCTCGAACACAGTGGTGGGGCGGTGCTTTTCCTTGATGGAGAGGACGTTGGCGGCGAAGTACGGCAAGCCCGTCTCATCGAAGAGCTCGACAAACTTGGCGAGCTTAGAGTCGGCGGACATAGTGCGTTGGAGGCGTTGTGGGGCGGATTGCGGGTGAGAGCTGAGAGCAGGTGATCATGCCGAGGAAGAAGGGATCGGAATCTGCAGTTGAGGGTCGCGGTGGAGTGTTGCATTAAATCAGGGCGTCATCGAGTGTTGGTGAGTTCGGGCCCGCGATTTCGGGTTGTTTTTTCATTTTTGCTTTTTGCTTGTTTATTCATGCAGAAACTGAGAAACTTCATGATTCTTCATGAAGAAACGACTTCAGACAATGGTAGCCACGACTTACACGTTACATCGCCATGATGGAGATGGGCTACAGGGACCCTAGGAAGGCATGGGGGATCTCGATTTCGATGGTTGATCGCGATTATCGGTGGGTCGCCTGAAGAAGGCCGAAGTGGTGATTTTTTCATTTTGCAGCATTATCTGGCAGTTTTTGCGCGCAATTGCGCGCAAAAACTTGATTTAATGAAATCGCGGGTTCGGGCAGAAGGTGTAAATTTGTAAGCGAAGGGGGTGGTGTCAAAAAGCAAGGCCTGAGAAGGGGGCCGATGATTGCCATGACAAAATCTCATCACATGAGTGCGGTGACTCTCGTGGTACTAGATGACTGCCAAGTCGTCTCATTGGTAGGCTGCGCGGAGGGTGCTCTCCTTGCTGTCTTACAGTTATCAGTTTTCCGCCATTCAGACGTGACCAACACGGCCCTCGACACTCTGTCCTACGTCAAATTGGATATTCCCAGTACGGTATATGCACCCTTTGTATAGAGGGCCTCTCTAAGGATTGCGTGTCACAAACATGTACCAATGAACAGCTCTTGAGATTTGCCTGCGACTCCTAGGGGCACGACCAAGCACCGCTAACTTCTCTGTTTTCTATTCCATTGGCAGCAGGTGCTGGATACAGACAGAAATTCACTCAAACATGGATATCTGCTCTCGTCTAAGTTGAAATAGAAACGCGTTGCACGGCACCCCTTTTGCAGATGGGCATTGTAAACGGAACCGCACATCTTTTCTTCGGAGCATTGTTGCCGTCCTTGTCTCCAATACAATCCATGAAGTCCTCCAATAGCTCGAGACATTGTTTTAATGGGAATCATTTTTTCAAGTAGGCTACAAATTGTAGCGCTCGAAGCTACTGTAGATACAGTAGATTGGGTGCAGCGCTATGGAAAGCAATTTAGTACATTACGAATGCAGCCAATCTGTTTAGAAGAACTGTCATCTCTTCCACTTTTTTGTCACTGGAAGCTCGTCGATCGCCCATATGTCTTGGAAGGGGGAGCCCACCGCACAGAAACAGTGAGTCATGTTGTGCTTGTTTTGTGCTTGCTTACCGTATTCGATCATATAGCCGAGCTTCAGCTAATCGCAAATTGTACTTTGAGCCGTCTTCCGCTCAGGACTTTCCCTCCAGATACAGGACAGGATACGGACATGAACTACATCAGGGGGAGTCTCTGTGGGTTCTGAGCATCACTGCGAGCTTCCCGGATGTAGCTGCTGTCGAGTACCAACAAAACCGCGTGCAGGAGAACGATAAAAATTGGCAGGCTGCGAAATGTGTTTTTTTTTGTTTTGTTTTTTTTCAAAAATCGTTTGGAAAGGTATTTCCTCCTAATCTGTCTCTCCGCTACAGTATCAAGGGAGAAAGTCAACAAAAAGGAGAAATTCAGTTACACAGTTTTTCACGGGTCCGAACAGCTAAAGAGTATCTCGTGAGACAGAAACAAAATCCAGACCCCCTCGACGAGTCTTCCTAAACTACGATATGCGCACATACTGTACCGTTACTGTACTTCCGTTTCCTAGTCTCGCTCCTCAAAATTCAAAACCTGGGTAGCGGTAACCGCCATGCCAGGAATGCCAGGATACCAATAGTTTTATAATCAACGGGATGGAGTGTTGATGTTTGGAAATATATGAGGAGATGGTTAAGATGATCGATACTTTTATCTCTTCGGGTCCACGGACTGCAGTACTATTTACTGTATACTAATTTTAAGTGTCGTATAGGATGGTTCTTTGTGGTCGTAGAAACAGTCTACTCAATATTATCTAGAACAGTTCCCAGTTTCATCCATAACGTCAGACATAAGACCAAAGGTCCGATCTTGTAGAAATGCAGATGTGGTACAAATGCCTGGGTTATTCATCCAGCAATGTAGCACAGCTTTCTAACCAGTCACCAATTTCCGTAGTGGATCATCTTTTCTAGATGAATCCAGATTACCTTAAACTACAATTCTCTGTAGCGATGCATGCCATAGTTGATACATTCTGTCGGTCGTAGTTGTATCTCCAACAGTTGAGACTGCTTCAATCGAGACTGCCTCAATCGAGACTGATTGACCCGAAATAAGGCCACAGGCCGGCCCCGATTTACTGTATCTACTGTAGTTTCCCTACTGCAGTAGGGAAACTACAGTAGATACAGTATGCACAACGGGGCGCCGTCTGGTTCCGGGGGTGCATGCCAGTACAGTAGTAGCAATACTCTGTTTCGGTGTTGGAACCCGAGCGCCCCTGCGACGTCCGCTCCCCTGCGACGCCCGCTCCCCTGCGACGCCCGCTCCCTTGAGCCACCGCCCCTCTCCCCGAGTTCCTTGTACGCACCACAACCAGTTGTGGTCCTTTTGGCTCGAGGTGGCTAACTCCGGTGGTTCCAGCACTAACCTTAGCGCCACAGACATCCGAAAAGGGCAGCGAGGATTGACAACAAGGCATATTTGTTGACTGCCTTGCGTCGCGGCGTCTGCGGCGGCACGCAATGATGAACGTAGACGATCAACATGATCGACAACAGTGGTGTGTATAATGCCTTTGTAAATCAGAAATGATGTTTATTTGATTATTCATTGTGACAGAGAAAACCAGTGTGCAACAAACAATTAGGAAGGCGTAAAGTGCCATATAGTCTTGTATGATGTGCCTCTGCAAGAGAACGGTGTTCCTAAAAAGAATGGCTGAAAATATCCACATTTTAGCAGTGAATCGCCCATGGATGGTTCCCATTCTGCTGCAATCCGATGGGATCGCTCGCTATCTGTGCGGAGGCGGACACGCGAGGCACTGTAACGCCGAGAGTTCGTGGGAGAGAGATGCGGCCCTGGCCCGTCTTCCAAGACACTGTGAGGGCTGTGCGGAGAGCGGGTCAGCAAATGAATATCTTCTGCCGTATCGCATTGTTGTAAGATACTGAAGCTTTTCAATCTCTGATTGTTGTGCACGCGGCAAGACATTTCCATACTTGCGCGTCATGGATGGTGTAAAAAGAACAGAGTAGCGGAGCTCGTTAAGAACAAGACAGGACGTACGGCCCATGCGGACAAGAGGCCGTGTACAGTGTAGCCGCACGCAATGGAATGATTTGCCCATATTCGTCGAATGCTCACCTCGCCCAAAATTATTTCTGAGGAGAGTTACACGTGGTATCTTGACAAAGTTTTTTTTGGGTGACTTTCATGTGCAGGAACCTTTTTTTTTTTTTTTGTCCACTGCTGAGTGCTCATGATGCATTTTTCAATCGGACCTTCCACCCGCCATCTCCCCGTGCAAGTTCTTTATGTGATAACACGAGCACACTGCATTTGTAAGCAAACCTTTCCACATTTATGAAATACCACACTGCGAGAAAGAGTATTGCAAAATAATCCTTCAATTAATTCACAAAAAAGTACAGTACCGGTCTCAGCTCGCTGTTATCTTAAGTAAGTGACTGCCGATGTCATCTATTAATTGTCAAGAGCGATCCCGCACGGGGGGTACTTTGCCAGCGTTTGTGAAGAAGTAACCTTACCATCTAGACCATCATCTAGATGGTAAGGTTACTTCTTCATAACCATAAATGGCTGTCTAACATGTAGCGGCAAGCTCGATGATGGTCTAGATGGTAAGGTTACTTCTTGGAAGACGGGCCAGGGCCGCATCTCTCTCCCACGAACTCTCGGCGTTACAGTGCCTCGCGTGTCCGCCTCCGCACAGATAGCGAGCGATCCCATCGGATTGCAGCAGAATGGGAACCATCCATGGGCGATTCACTGCTAAAATGTGGATATTTTCAGCCATTCTTTTTAGGAACACCGTTCTCTTGCAGAGGCACATCATACAAGACTATATGGCACTTTACGCCTTCCTAATTGTTTGTTGCACACTGGTTTTCTCTGTCACAATGAATAATCAAATAAACATCACTTCTGATTTACAAAGGCATTGTACACACCACTGTTGTCGATCATGTTGATCGTCTACGTTCATCATTGCGTGCCGCCGCAGGCGCCGCGACGCGAGGCAGTCAACAAATATGCCTTGTTGTCGATCCTCGCTGCCCTTTTCGGATGTCTGTGGCGCTAAGGTTAGTGCTGGAACCACCGGAGTTAGCCATCTCGAGGTTTGCACTAAGTTAGGTTTGGACTTCATGTATCTACTGTACACGACTAATTTGCAGGTCAGGGTTTCTCGGAGCTCCATTTTAGTACAATAGTACTGAAGTGCTCGGAGCTCCATTTTAGTACAATAGTACTGAAGTCGCGGTACAGCACTGAGTAGCTTGTGATCTCTGAAATGCTGTAGAAGAACGTAGCCAGGAGACAAAAGGGGCTTGCTCTCCCTCGATACAAGGCGCCCTTTTCGCATTGGATAGAAGGCGCCTTCCTCCGCGTCCCTGTGTCGTAGTCACGCGCAGAGTCCTCACGCGCAGAGTCCTCACGTGCAGCACAGTGTGCTGCTGTCTGCACCGTCGACTAAAGTTAACGTCAGAATGACTGCTCAGTGCGGTAACACGCCAGGTAACAGTGCTATGCAAAAGAACATTGTTTTCTACTTCTTGACAGTGTGTGAACAAGAGACCGATGACTCCTCGTTTACTCGTTGTCGCTCGTTGGTTATAAGTCTGTTCCCTGCGGGACAGACTGCCTTGTGCGGTCTGACAGACAGCTGATGTCAGCTGTCAATGTCAACATTGGAGGTCGTTCAAAATGAAATCATTATTCTGCGAATCCCAACCTTGACGGTGCATTTGAATTCTGAGATTTTTCTCGCGAAATTTGTCAGTTTTCTCGCCCGTCTACACTTTCTTTTACGATTCAGTCCTCCCTTCGGCCCCCTCCTCTATTTCCCTCGTCCTGCCGGACTTGCAAAGAGGAGCAGCGCACGTGCAACCCTTTCGCAGAACACGTCAAAGTGACCCAACGACTGCGCTCCTTCGATAGCATCCGTATCCCTCTCTCTCTTCCGCAACAGATAACACATGCAACATGCTGTCAAAGACCCTCACAAGAGAAAACCACCAGGCCAGATCAATACCAAACTGTGCAATATACTGTAACCTTGCAGTCCAGCCTTGCCCCTCATCGCGTCATTTCTCTCTACTCTCATTTTTAGCGATCACTGTATTTTCAATGACAGTACAGGCCTTGTTCACAATGAGGCTTCGAATGATCGAATCACTTCTGTGTCCAACTACTAGCTAGCATTGTCATTTTAGGCGCCGGCCCGTAGCATCAACATCAGCGAATTTCGATATGCTTGCCTCGAATTTCGTACTTGAACTCATTCACTACCCCCGCAACACCCTTCGCAATGCTCGCCGCAATGACATCCATTGCAATCGTCCGGCCGTTAATTCCGCCTCGCCCCAACTCTCTCACAGTTTTTCATCCAAATGAAAAAAGGCAGCCAGGCACTCTTTAACGCGACTACCGATGCTTCTGGCATAGAATATTTTTTTGTCAATATCTCTGCCATCAAGCCAGTGGCATTTCGACCGCAAGACGTCTATAAAGACGGGAAAAACTCGTGTTCTATGCTTTCAGAGACGCTTCCTCTCGGATCGCGCGCCACAGGAAGGTTTTCAGGAGATCTAACTTCGAGAGATGACCTAATTCTGGCAGTCCTCTCTCTCTTTCTTGTGCTGCTGATCGAGAGCATGCTCACAACTATTTTGCTCCGATCTCGCGATGGAAAGTTGAGCACAGCCAGCTTCTCTATCAGACAGTTCTGTCAACTTGTTCGCGAATTTAAATTTCATCATATTTTGCAAGGGCAGCTCTTCAAGAAAGGGAAAAGTCGACCACATATCAATTTTCGTCTCGTAGCTCTCTCCTTTTCTGTGCTTGCGTTTTCCCTCGGTTTGCAAATCGACGTTTTGGTTTTCAGCACTCCCCATCTTGTTGACGTCACGAATGACGCAGTCTCATTCTCTTTCGGACAGCATTTCATTCCTGATCGGAAGGAAGTGTCGGAGAAAGGTAGGGTTGCAACAAGGAGGACTTGCACGAGCATTCGATTGACTGCGTCCAACCCTAGGCTGAAAATTGAACAAGGTCAGACCTCTTTGCAAGCATGCCTTATTTCTAACCATTCTGCACTTGAACAATGGGACACTGGCTTTGAAACGACCGACGATTTGGTGGATATAACTCTAGCGTCAGAAGTGCATGCATATGGTACCGAGCATCTCATTTCAATCGGAGATGTGACAGTTTTATACCTTACTCGTGTGTACTATAGCGGGGATGACAGAAAGGTTCGTTTACTGGGATCTCGAGGACGACATGCTACAAGGGAAGGGATTCGCGTGGACTACGTTCACAAGGAAATTGTCGCATATCTTTTTTCGTATTATGCAAGAGAAACTAATGATACGAGTATGAATTTAAAACGACTACAATCTCTAGAGTTTCAATTTGATGTGGAAAAGGGTCAGGAGATCAATGTCCTCCAAGTCAATGGTGCAGAAAGGTTTTTTCGGGTAGCCTCATCAAAGTATACTACAAAGGTTCGGGGAGTGATACCACAAGGGGTAGCTGCTTTCCGATTGATTGATTCATTCCTGAAAGGCTCATCCAAGGTTACTACATCCCCCGCTACCCGTTACGATCTTTTCTTGGGGTCTGGAAATATTTTTCCCCAAATGTCAGTACTGTGGCGAGAGACGTCAAGAAAGATCAATTGGGCGTCGTTATCAATCTTGACCGGCGCAGTCTTTTTAGCGGTTATATGCTTACGACATGTGTTGGAACCCATATCTTCTCCAGAAATTGCTCAGGCATGGGTGGCGAATGGGTTGTTGGCAAGCAAACGAGAAGGGCATGAGGGAGAAATTGAGAAGCTGGACTTGACACTAGGCGCTTCAACGGACTCCCTCTGGGCAAGCACAGCAGAGGAAGACTATTAAGCCCAGGTAAGCTCGGCTCGTTTGGAAACGGTGGTGTTTCGGTGCCCTGTCTCCACAGACTGCCAAGTTTACCCGCCGTGCATGATTCCCAAAGAATCACAACAACTATTCACTATTACTGCTACTACTACTGCTGCTGCTGCTACTACAGTACTAATAAGGGTACCCTTTTCCTGGCATCTCGGCCCTTTCCGTCTATGGAGCCTTGCAACTGCCTGTCTGTACAGTACACTTCCATTTGCTAAATTGATTCGAAAGGATACACCCCTGCAGCTGAAATGGAGAACTGCGCCGAGACATATCACATCAGAGTGAGATTCGCCCATCACAGTTTGGAGGTCTGACAAGGAAACATTTTATGAGCATGTCTGGAAACGTATGTCTTTGGTGTAAAAATAGCAGGTAAATAAGGATCCAAAAATGCTAAGAATTTAGTTTTGCCTTCGAAACCTAAAACACAAATTATTAGATCCAGCCGGTATTTTTAAACATCGTCGCCACCATTTATTCAAAACCGCCATCCCAGCATTTTACAAGGTGTAATTACCGACCGCAGATACACCCAGGAAAAGATGTCCAACTTGAACTTCAAAATTGGCGAAGAACAATACGCAATTTAATTCTCGAAAAGGCCGATCTCATGTAAGGCAGCAAGAAGGTCCATTAGAAACCCTCCTGGTACACAAACGGACAAAAATGTGCAACAGCTGAATTAAGGCTAGTTGCTATGAAATGTGTCACTGTTTTAGGACTCACTACTTGTTTAATAGGTTGAAACAATGGTCGTCGTCGCAGACCCTCGGTGGAGGTTTAAAATTGCATCTCCCGCTTTTAGGCATTCTGTTGTTTTGAATGGACGCCAAAACCTTCTTCCAATGCATGTGAGCCTGGCTTCACCAGTACTTAAGCAAGTTCAATCGTGCCATCGGAAGCCTGTAACTCTCCTCTACAAGACCCTCAGAAATCTTCTTCCTCTCTTCAGATCATTCGGAGCAGCCGCAGCCTCATTCCAAAATGCAATACGGCAAGAAATCCTTCATTAATCGTGGACACAATCCCGAACGCCATGAAGACATTAATAGCCCGGTTAGAATCGCCTCTTTGCTTGTTCGCAAGTTCAAAAGCCTGAACGAACAAAAGAAATCAGCCATCAACAAATTTCGAAAGAGGCGGGACTACACTAACAGGAAAATTCGCGAATCTACTATCCGTCGAACCCATCTCGCTGCGGATGTTGAGATAAAACGTTTAAGATTATTTCAAGCAAGAGCGCAACTACTGCGAACTAAGTCATTTCTAGAAATGTTGGAGGACCGTGAAAACTTCGCGCACGAGGCCCGTGCTTTGCCCCTTGTGAACGAAATGTATAGAATTACGGAACTCATTGGCGAAGGATCGGAGAGCTACGTGTGTCAGGCCACAGATGTTGTCATCGGGCAAGTTGTTGTTGTTAAGATTCTGAAAGAAAAGTTTTCTGTGGCACGCTTATATGCAGAGCAGTCGGTTTACCGCCAACTAAACTCCATTGCGCCCCGATCCCAGCACAGAGACAGATATCCGCGGGTTTATTATGTTGGTAGATTCGAAATGCAGAACGTCATGGTTATGGATCGTCTGGGGCCATCGCTCAGTTGTGTTCAAAAGTCGCACTTAGACGGAATAGCAATGCGAGACATCATCAATGTTGGCATTCAAGTGATTCTCCGTCTCAAAGACTTGCACGGCCTTGGAATTGTGCATTGTAATATCACACCATCTAATATTGTGGCCATGTCGCCTGCTTTTCAGGGTTGGGGTATCATAGATTTTGGGAATAGCCGCCTATATCTTGAAAAGAAAGGACACCTTCCTTTCCTCTACAAATTCGCTTCCTGGCCTGTGGGATGTTACAGCTCCGTTCACGCGCACATGGGGTGTACGCCATGCAGAAGGGACGATCTGGAATCTCTTGCATATGTTCTTCTTCATCTTATGGAAGGTACACTGCCTTGGCTCCATCTAGATGCTCTCACTCCAGAACATAGGAATTTGTGGATATCGATGAAATCAAGGATTCTTGAGACAGAAATGATGAGAAAAGCTCCGCGCGCTTTCTACAAGTTTGTCGAGGTAATTATGAGCATGGAACCCACCTCAGACCCTCCCTATGAATCCTTGATTGGTTTTTTGAAAGAAATGGGACAAGAATACGTGAGATGGCATGAGGGTGCAAATGAGTTGGCCCTCGCGTTTGAGCAAGGTCTAACCTTCTAGAAGATTAAAAGGGGGACACACTGTCGTTCTCGTCAGGGTGAATCTATGAGACACAAGGGCTTACAACATGCTGTATTGGACATGAGACAGAGTGCTCTAAGAGAGGAATAAAAAAATTGCGGTTAAATAAATTTATGGTCCTTTCTACACTTTTAACTTTTGTGAGAGAGAAAGCGGACCGGACGGAACATCGATTCAAAGGAAAAGGAACAAACTGAAAACGCGGCGAAAGAAAACCATGGAAGCAGACTTATTTTTATCACCGTAGTGAGATCCTTCGAATAGAATCATCCAGCCTCCAACACAGCCGTCCTCTGTCCGAATTTCTTCCGCGCGGCCTGGTATGCATGCGACTTCCGTCGCCTCCGTGGATCCGGCCCCTATGTAAAGCTTCGATACACAACAATCGGCCTCGTGTATCACAGTCATCACACCACTTCAAAGTACTTAAATGCTGACAGGAGAAAAAGTTGAGTTAACTATATATCGAAACTGCAATATCAACTGCAACAACTGTATTGCGGTGCACTGCAAGATGTACCGGTAAGGCACAGTAGGGACATCGAGTCGGCGCGGTAGTCGGCGCGGAGCTGTCAGTGGTATTGCTACGCAGACGTACGTACCCTACGCGTAAGTGACCAGCAGTATGTTGTGTTATTCAGAAGAAAAAAAGGCAATACGTGAGGGGGAAGTGCCGGAACAATCTCCTTTTCAGCTTGAAATAATTCCCACGGCACCTGGCCCCATCGCAGCAACACTGCCGATCACTTGAAGCTCATTACATCGATGCGGTGAAGGGGAAAGGACTTGGCGGCTGATCCTGAATGCGGCAGGCAGTTTACGGGCGTTGTGGGAGTGAGGAGATGTTATGGTTCATTATGCGGTTTTATGTAAGGTGCAGTAAATTTTTGACACGAGCCGGGGATGGCGAACTGTCCGCAGGGCAGGAGCAGAGACGTGTGGTCATGACGGGGCCGTTAAATAGCAGCTGCGGTAAAGTTGTTACGTTTTCCTTTCCTTTTCTCCGCCGCTACGATGGGTGTGTGGGGTCCCAAGGTAGCATAGAAGTAACGTTCAGTAGTGTGAGGGAAGAGTCATTCGCGGGCCAACATCCCGCAGAGAGCCCAACACTACCCATAATCTACGTCGTCGCACGCGCGCCCATCAGCGAAACGAAGGCGCCGGCTTGGGATGATGTCTCACCCGGGCAACGGCTTTCTGTTTCGCTTCGCCAGATAGTTGTAATGGCGGGCCGCCTCCGACCAAGCAGAAACGCGAATAGAAGGCCGAGCAGTCTCTTGTCGGGCTTCGTCGGTGCGCCCGAGTTCCACCTCCTCCCTCGCCGCTTCATCGGCGGCCGTAGTGATCACGCAGAAGACGCTGCCCCGTCATGGAGCTTGCCGTCGTCAATGAGTACTTCACAGTGCGGCTATGGAGAACAAGAAACAGACATGATATCGATGTTCTTGCTCCTTTGAGTATTTTGGGCATGTTCGCTGAAACGATTATGTTGTGCAAAATGTCATTTTAAATATTATATATTTCAACTTCAAATGTTCTAAAAATTGATGGATCGAGTAATACACAGGTCATTCCATTTGTCTTGCATCTAATAAGCATAGAATAGTGTCCATCCCTTAGGCGCCTGGTAATGATTCCTATTTTAGCTTCTGGAAGTCGCAAGAACACAGATCAACACAGAAGCAATGAAACATCCTTGCCCAAACAGTCATTATCTTGAGAGGCGCTGCTCCTTTCAATACGGTTAACGCAATTTTTACTGTTAATCACCGGCTCTTTGAACCACGCAGGCCTTTCCATTCACTTAATCCATTATTGTTCGACATCCGGGCAAATTCACGCTCTTGTAGAATTCAATATGGCAAGGAGCAAAATACACATGGTTCATGGCCTCTATAGCAGTGATCCGATTTCGTGGGTTCGGAGTGAGCAGTGATGTCAGGAGATCGAAAGCGAGTGGCCCACATCGGTGCAGTTGCTCGGGAAAATTAACGGGATGCTCTTCCACAATGCCTGGCCACTTGGGCAGAAACGCAGCCTCTGGCCAGGACACCATTGTGGGTGTTCCGACTATTTTGAATACTTCATCTAACGCATTGTCAGGATTAACAATTCCGAATAAATGCTCCCCTGAAATAAGCTCCGCGAAAATACAGCCCACAGACCACATGTCAATTTCACCTCCATATTGTGTACACCCTAAAAGGAGCTCAGGCGCTCTGTATGCTAACGCGGCCACTTCTGAAGAACGGCCCGCCTCGCTGCTCACTATTTCCCCTGCGATACCAAAGTCCGTCATCTTCAGACGCGGATTAACCACAGAGTTCAATAAAAGGTTTTCCGGTTTGAGGTCTCGATGCATGACATTATGATGATGAATAACTTCTACTGCTAGTACCAACTGCCACATGAGGTCCCTAACTTGAAAGGGCTCTATTAGAAGGCCATTTGACTGATACGATCGAATAAAAAAACTTAAGTCACATTCCATCAGGTCATATACGAGGCAGTGCACCTTACTTCCATTTGCTTGGGGTACATTAGTGAATTTAGCCTCCAATTTTGCAAGATGGTAATGGTCAGGAAGGATGGTATCGTACTTTATCTCCCGCAGGGCAGAGAGGTCCTTGCCCCTGCCTGTCGATGGAATTAGCTTTACGGCTAGTCCACGTCCTGAAGTCTTTAATTTTGCATGATATACGCTTGCATAGGAGCCCTGCCCTATCTTTGAAATGAACTCAATATTATTTAGCTGAATGTTCTCCATTTCTGCGATATATGTAGTTAAATGAAGAAATGAACTGAAGCAGAGTTGTACATAAGAGACAGGTTTGAAAGAGGCTACGTTGCGGATATGCTATAAATACGTTTTAGTTGTCGGAAGGGGTGACTCTATTCTGAGGAAAGTCAGCACCGTAACAAGCCCAAGTCTGTTGGAAAGCACAGATTGCATTGCCGTTACAGATTAGAGGGACCCTTGCCCGTCGTCAAATTGAGAATAATTCCAAAATGGCTAAGGACCGCCATAAACAGTTGTGAGTAGAACCGTTTAATTAAGAGCGCCAGACAAACGACATACTTGATCGTGACCAATTCTGGTCCTTTTATATATTCTAGACAGGGTACGACCATATATGGTACTGTATAGGTAGTCTACACAGCCGCATAAGGTAAACAAAAGGTTAAAAGCGTCCTTCTTATGGTGAATCGAAGTTATTTACTTTCACCAATGGAGGAGTGGTTGTAAAAGACTGACATCCCGTCTCGTTCTATGCTGTAATCAAAAAGTTGAGATGTTTTAAAACATATTAAAATATTCCTCGCTCTAATATTCCTGAAATATGGTTAGAGATATGAAACCAGTGATGGACGGGCAATCAACCGTCTGAGGCGTTGACGAGACGTTTCATAGGGGCTCATGGGCAAAGTGGGTTTCTGAAATGTATTTATTCAAAAATTCTACCAATAAGCAGTATGTCGGAGTAAACTCACGTTCTGTTTCGCAATGCGGAAAGCCGTGTCCGGGTGGGCACAAAAATTCTATAGTTGGAAGAAGGATACCCCGCTCTACCGGACCGGGAAGGCTTAAGGTCTTTCATAACGATCTGTTGGCGCTGGCTGCGAAGCCTGTCTCTGTCACTCGTGTATAGTGGTTACGCGTTCGTTCGCCCTTGGAATATTCGGACAGTGTCCTAGCCAACATGTCTTGTGCCTCAGAGCCCGGCCTGTGATCCATTCTATGGGCAACATTGCTTGGTGGGTGGTAATTGAAAAGGAAAAGGGTGTCTGCCACACTTGGTTAAAGGTGAGTCAGACCGGCAGCACTCTTTACCATCATGTCACACTTCTCCTCTTTCGGACACTCATATTCTAAATGTATAGCTGCCATGTTGTCAACAGGAACAACTCGTTATGAAAATCTCAGTTCGGTGACAAGTACAATTCTAGACTTCTGTATGCACATGCCAAAATGCTGCCGCAAAGGGTGCACAGAAGGCGACGGCGGAAAGCTCAACATACCTCGACTTGCATGGTACTGCACCGCAAAAAGGAGATCTTGATGCCGATTTTCTTTTCTAGTTGTAATTGGACACGAAGAGGTATCTACGCACTCCACAACATTTGGAGACGGGAGCTGACTTCAGCCACAAATAACGATCCTGTCTTCAAAGACATTTGACATTTGAAGCCGGGAGCTGAAGACAAGATCGTTATTACAGCATTCTGATTGTATTAAAGTTTTTTAAATTCTCATTATAAAAAAGATTAAACTCCAAAAAAAGCGGGCCAGAGGTATAATTTTTGTTGGGTTATGTTTGCGAGGGCCGACCTTGTCTAGGACATGCATGTCCACGATACACAATCTATCTCCCGCTTCAATCCATAGCTGAACTATTTTCTATTCTAATTGGCACTCAGCTGTAATCCTCCCGCCACCCACTGTTCATTCCAGTTGTGGGTTGCTCTTCATATACAACATGAAGATCCTCATCTTGAGCGCGCAATATTACATTTGAAAGTCTCTCCCCTTTATTTCCATCGTATCATCATGCACTACTCACATAATATAAACCATTCGACGCACTCTTTGAGAACTTTTTTTCGAGCCGACCCGAGTTGCTCTGGGCTCTGCAACGTGGAATCGACTTCAACAACAGCTTGACTGTGGAAGAGGCATGATGCATTCAAAGCCGTTTAGAACTTTGCTTCATTCCTTTTTCAATATGAGTTCCACGCCACCACAAGCACACTACATTGCTGTAAGTGCCTGCCGCACCACTTAACTCAATCTAGCTTCGAATCACGTTTTCCAGTGATCCAGCGCTGCGTAAGAAAATCATGTGGGAATACACAGGAAACGTACAACAGTATCGCAACTGCAGGACCATCGCTTCTTTGTTTCTCTTCAAAGTCCCGCTAGAAATGGCGACTTCCAAAACACGCTTGCCCGCAAAATACTTAAAAAATGCGTGCAGGGGGAATCCTGGCTTGGAGGAAATAAATCATTCCCAGAGGATTTTTCGTCAAATCATTTATGTTCCCTACACAATTCTTCTTATCGACTACTGGCCGTACCACCGCGTGCTAAGATCTCCTAAAAACTTCCTCAGTCCTGCATATGAAGGTGTTTCAGTGCTAGGAATGCAAGCTTCTCTGCAAAACTTACGCAGTTCCCTTGGGACTTTCGTCATGTACTGGTTGGATAGGAGATTTTCTTTGGCTTTTAGAATCTTGCTTTGGCCCATAGGTGTTTGAGGAACCGAAATCTCCTTCCACGGCAGCGTACCTGTTATTAAATCCAAAAGCACGTACGACAAAGACTCTATGTCTGATGACTTGCCACAAGCCTTCCCTCGGTGGGCAGCAACTGGCGCATAATTCGTACGATGACTCTCCGATTCCGCAAGCGAATCTCCAAGTCCTGGTACTTCTTTCATAGAGCTGCACGAATCTATGTCAATAAGGTTCCAAGTGCCAGGGTGGTTCAATCCACAGACTATGTTGTCAGGACTGATCGCACTGTGCACAATTTCAATACTATGAAGCGCCTCTATCTGATAGAGAACTTGAAAACCAATGTGCACTACTGTTCTCACAGGCAGACCACCGTGGTTGGTGTTCATTAGCTTTGATAAAGACGGACCGAATCTCTCCTTCACTAAACAGAAGCGACTGCCTATGCTTCCTTGATAATATGTTGCAGGAGCTTTTCGTGATAATCCCATATCGTCATACGTTTCCTGTAGACGTCTGCATAGCTCAGTCTCACTTTCAGTGGTCGAATTTGTGGAGTTGCGTTCTTTCAGTTCAACTGCGACGACATGCCCAGAGAAAATGTCCACTGCCTCATACACTGATATTGAATGTTTCGTTCCGAGCTCGCCGGTGATCTTCCATTTTCCATCGATTGGATGAATGCATCTCACTGCCGGGCTCAATCCCTCATTCCATTTCTTGTCTTCAGGCCTTCCGATTTTTTTTCTGTCATTTTTGATACCTTCTCGCTCCAGAAGTTCCAAACGATCGCATACGTCTCCAATTCGTTGTCTCAATACACGACTTTCAACCTCATAAGTTCGTGCTTTCGAATCAAGAATTTTGGCTTTCTCTCGAACCTGTTCTGATTGCTTTTTCTGTTCTGCACGATCGGCCGCTACTTCACGTATCATATGTCCTAAAACATTTGTTGAGGGCTCCTGTTTCTTTACAATAACTGGTTTTCCATCAGAGAGTCGTGAACTTGGACTAGACATTTTTCTGTTCCAGAGTTTATGAAGTTATTCTCTCCAGAAGGCGTTAGAAAGTTGTGGTCAGGCCTTTCCCACCAGGGCACTTGCTTTTATAGTACTCTGTGGGGATGCTTCAAAGCAAGCTTAATGGTCTTTTTAACAAACAAAACGAATACCATTTTCCATGTGTATCTACGACCTGGATGATGGTAAGCCTTAATGGTCGAGAAGATATATTTGAGTACTAGTTTTGGCGTTTTGTGCTGTGAGTGGGCGTTATACAGGTATAGTAGCAAAAATAAATCACATATTTTCTCTCATCAAGTCTTTTGTCGTTTTAACTCTTTAAACAATTTTGGAAAGAAGCAGCTCAGTAACGGTTATTATTGAAATCCTATCTTCAGGGCTATGGGGATGAAACCACTGCTTTGGTCGTGGGTTTGAACAGGGTGCTTGTTGAAAGTGGAATTGAACAGTAAGATGAGAGTGTCTTCTTCTACACTCGTAGTTTATTCGGATAGAAGCATTTAAGTACATACTAAGGACTCAATAAATCTGTCAAAACTCAAGGTCAGTATGTGCTGAGCGGTGATGCAGAACGACAACTTGACAGGGACTGATTCTGCACCACTCAATTCAGAGAAGTAAATCACTATAAAATACACATCAGTATAATAGACACGGTAGCCGCTAATCTCCTTACTCAATCGAGTGCTAACGAGATTATTTCACATCAGTACAGTATTGATGTGCCAATTCAAATACCTCACCACTTACTCACTTTACGTGGTGTGTTCGTTGAAGTGCGCGACCAGAGCACCGACATCAAAGCTTCCTCTTGCTGCAGGAGCGGACAGATCAAGTACACCTAAGTCATCGCGATGCTTATCGAATGCCAAACGCAGAAGCGGCTTTGTCAATACGTCAGCCGTCATGTCGTTGCACAGTACTCGAGCCGAATAGAGCCCTTCTGGACGTTCTCCTTGACAAAATTCTTCCGGATGGAAACATGCTTGGCATGTCTCACGCCTTTTTGCCCCCAAGTAACTGCTCCCTGGTTGTCTTCCTTGATTACGGTTGGGTCCATCTGTGCGCAGTCCAGTTCATCTAACAAAGATCGCAGCCAAAGTACAAGCTTGAGTCCTTCGCTGAGTGCCATGAACTCAGCTTCGGTTGTGGAAAGCGCGACCGACTTCTGTTTCTATGTTCGCCATGCAACTGTCGTAAGTCCAACTCGCAGTACTACCCCAGTAGTGGACTTGCGATCTAGGGGATCACCAGCCCAGTTGGAATCGCAAAATGCAAGTAGTGTCGCCTCGTCTTGTCCGTGAATCTTCAACGCAAATCTCTTAGTCCCGTTAAGATATCTCAGTATCCTTTTTAGATAGCTCCAGTGTATGGTGGTCGGTTGCGAGGCGTATATACAAAGGAGCGAGACGGACAATGAAATGTCAGGACGAGTTCTCGTCGAGATGAATAGAAGACAGCCTATTAACTTCTGATACTTTGACTTCTCGCGGAGTGGTCCATTCTCGGA